TCTCTCTCTCTCTCTCTCTCTCTCTCTCGCTCTCTCTCTCTCTCTCTCTCTCTCTCTCTCTCTCTCGTGCGCGCGCGCGCGCGCTCACTCGCTCAAGTCTTTGTCCTTTTGACCTCACTGCGCTCAAGCTCTCCCTCTCTCTCTCTCCATCTAGGATCTGCCCTGAATACAACTGCGGTGTATTCCCCGAACCTCCGCGGCTGTGGCCGTCTCTTTCCTTCTCCCTAGCTGTCGTAACCAGATGTCTCCTTCCTCGCTGGGCACTTGCTTCTCTCCTGGTGCCCCCTCCCATCCACGTCGCACTGTCGCGCAAGTAACCTGCAGTACTTCCCCAATTCGTGCATGAATAGTTGATCCTTCCTGCTGATGCTGCTGGGTTTTTATACTTGCTGATCCGCCTTCCAGACGTCTTTCGTTGGTTATGGGTTGGCCCTCTTGCCTTTGTTTCCTGCTTCTGGAAACTCACAGATTCTTCTTTGGCTGCTTGAGCGGATCAGCTGACACCTAGCCTAACGGCCCTGGTAATCCTGGCTGAAGTTGTGGTGCCTCCTAAAGACAGACTTTTCAACCCGTAACTGTTATCCCCAACGGACGTCCTACCACGATCTACTTAAGTAGCTCACCTAGGCCTCTGCAATCATGGTACACATGAAAGCTACTCTTCTAGAGTATTCGTGCATATTGTAGAAGTGGCTGGAACCACTAATGGAACACTGAATGGGACTCGGGATTAGAACCTGGGACTTGGGACTGGGACGAGGGACGAGGGACTCGGGACTCGGGACTCGGGACTTGGGACTGTGGCATTGCGTGAAATCCTTTCACTCCCGCCGGCCTAATTTCGAGGTCCTCCTAGAAATATCTTATCTTTACCTGTCTATGATGTCAATACCCCTTCAGGCATGCTCATAAGAGGACACAATATGAGGTGCAGTCTCCATGAACTCCTCCCCAGTGTACTAACGGTCACCTTCTGGTTCTTAATAAGCAAACCGAACTTTGTATTGTCACTGCGGTCTACCCCTTCTTCCTGTCATGTAGACATCCTCTTCTAGACTTCGATCTATGTCATATCTTCCATCCATGTCAGGAGGGATCATTGATGGTCATTAATGACATAGGGCAGCAACTTGGACGCGTGAAGCACTGGGTACGTGTGACGAGGCAGAGTGGTGAATGGTGAAAGAGAGGGAGAGGGAAAGCACACACACACACTCACTCAACTCGACACAGACTCGACACAACTCAACGCACGCAGACACAAAGTGGCAAAGTAGCAAGGTCGCAAAGTCGCAGTCTTGAATTCCCGAACACAATGTTGCAGCAAAGTCACACTGAACACAAGCACTGAGGTTGAAAACTGGTTGCCCGTACGGGGCTTGAGTCCGTACATAAGTACCGGACTCAAGTCCGGTCCTGAGGGCAAAAGTGAAAATGCCTCAGGCCCAGAACCGAAAATTGAAAGTCTGAGAGTGGGCACCAGAATTTCGGA